AAATAGAGATAAAAATGGCCCCTGCAGCAGCAGCATCCCCGAGTGCACTTAGTGACCCCAATTTGTTCCTGTCAGCGAGTAGCAAGGTCATGGGTGACGTTGCTGTCGTTATGGACGAATTCGGCTTACATTTGAAAATCCGTCCTCATGACCGAGTTTTGTTCCTCAATTCACGAGTCGGTAACTACGCCAAGTCTTTCATCGCACCTCTGCTTCCAACGTGAGTCAATATCTCAAATGTTTCTATTATTATTTGACTTATCACGAAAAACTGTCCTAAACTATCTTTTTTTCCTTTTCTAAAATTAGATTCGTGACAGAAAAAATCGAATTGCCCGAATACATGTTCTGGACTATCTAGAGAATATAAGCAACAGAAAAGAAAGCCAAATCCTACGAGAGAGAATGTCATTCGAGGACGTTGATTTCTGTAACAAACAAATTAAATTACCGAAGTGTATGCTGCAGATCGGTAAAAATTGGTTTGTGAACATCTCAGAGTGTTCATTTAATTCTATAAATCCATTTTTAAATTTACCAAACTAAGCTACTATTTTTTTTAACTTTATCTAGATCTAGAACACGGAACGGTTTTCTTCGTTTAAAATGTTTTTGGAAAACTCGTTGCAGTCGCCTGTAAATTCGGATTTATTCAACGATCTCAATACACTTCCAACAGATTACAAGGATTGAAATTTATGTTAAAATCTGTAAGGCTATACCAAAGGAAAAGACCACGCTGGAAATATATATTACTAGAGCAAGAAAGTCGACTGGTATAGTGCACTCCTTACATTTTGTCACATTTCTGCACACAATACGTGTGTCATCCGAAGTTCGCCTTTCATGGGTCATTATAACAATTGAAGGTTTTCTTTCATCGAGTAGAATATTGTCAAATTGCTAACATTTTCAATCAGGGAAGCTGAAATGATTGGGGTGGAGATGAATCCGACCATGGTTGATTACGCCCGTAAAAACTTCGGTGGACCAAACATCGGCTACATTCATCTCGCGCCGGACAGCCTCGGGGATCTTAAAGAAATGTACCCTTCGGGCTTCTCTCACATCGTCTCTTTCCTCAGCTTGCAATGGATCAGAGAGTACAAGTAAGTGAAGTGTATGAGACTTGCGGATTGCACGAACCTATATAGCAGTATTTTGTTTCCGTCTCGCACTTCCGATTCAGGACCGTTCTGGGACAATTGCAGCCTTTGTTGCGAGAAGGTGGGGTGCTTTTCTGTTCCTTGTTTGAAAACGCTCCACAGTTCGATATCTTCGAGTCATTGCGCTCAGATCCTGTTATTGGACCCGTTGTGAAGGTGCGTGAAAAACGTTCGAAGTTATTATTTATCAAGCGCAGTAAGTCAGATTTTCGCGACGTTGGCAAAAAATAAGACCAACCCACGCAAAAATGAGGAGGAATACCATCCCTGGAAAATATTATTCAAGCTGCAATTTTCGATAAAAAATTGGATGGCAAAAAATAGCTTGGAGAAGCAGGGTACATACAGTATTTTACTCTTATTTGGCGGCATCTTCGATTTGCTGTTCGAGTTCATGAATGCTTCTGCCGGATACAATATTAAAAATGAAATGTAGAACATGCAATTCTTGAATATTTCAAAAATCGTCAGTAACAGGGAACGAGAGTTAAAATCCTCATTTAAGCAGTGTTTCTTCTCGAGGGTTTTATGAGAGTCGACTGATGTTTGATGAAAGAATCGTTTACTCTTTTGATTTTCCGATTCGGAATGAATTGAATGTAATTAAAGCATGAATAGAATTCACATTTTTGTTTTAAATATAAAGTTTGTATTCAAATACATCTAGGAGTCTCTTGAGAGTTGTTCTTTCCATTTCTAGAATCCACCGGTTGCAATGGGGATTTTCGTGGGAAAATCCGATTCTGTAAAAATATTCACGAACGACCTGAAAGAAGCAGGCTTCAAACCCGAAGTCGTTCAATCCCTGCTGCGGCTACTGCTTTTCCCGACGATCAATTCGCTGGACCGTGAGTATCTCAAGAAAATTCTTATGAGATGAATGCGGAAAAGTTCGTGACATTGAAAATTTCTACGACAAAAACAAAAGGGACAACGCAATCATTTCATTTTATTCTTTTCCTTTTTTAGGTTTCCCACGCGCGATGAACCCTTTCCAAGGGTTCGTTCCGGAAAACGTGAATGAGAAAATACGGTAGTCAGCAAAAGGGTTCGTTCCGGAAAACGTGAATGAGAAAATAGTCAGCAGCATTTTTGAAAAGATGAAGTCGGCGGTGACCACTTATCCAACAGGAGAAGTTTCGGCCAAGTACACTATATTGCACTGCGTGGCAAAAAAGGTGTAGCAAAATCATGGACAGCTCATGCAATCAAAGAGCGTAAGCCAACTGTACGTGGAAGCTGAAAGTGAATCCCGACACCACATAAAACCATAATTTCGGAGAATGCCATTCCGTTCAGCGAGAGGAAATCTTATTTCTGTACATTCTTCTGTTAATTTGTCCTGATTTTGCGTCGTTGCACATACTAATGTATAAATATGTGTGAAATATACTACTTCCTCTCCCGGCAAAATGCGTTTCATACTTTCATCGCGAGATAATGTTGCATTTCTTCCAAGTAAGTGCGCTTTTTGCAATATATACGGATGTAAAATTCTATTATCAGTTACCCAGTTTACATAGAAGTTACACGGTTGAAGATCCGGCGTGCAGTAAACCTTTCAGAATATTCTTACGGCTATAAAGCTGATTTTTGTATGATTCGTATAATTGAGGTACGAGCATTTCCAAAATTAAAATATTGATACATTAATTAAAATTAAATTACGTACTACATGATAAGCATAAAAGTGTCTGTATACTGTACAGCATTCCGAAATCTGTTTATTGATCCATTAGCGAGTCCAAGGATATTTTTAGTCCAAAATATTGATACATTAATTAAAATTAAATTACGTACTACATGATAAGCATAAAAGTGTCTGTATACTGTACAGCATTCCGAAATCTGTTTATTGATCCATTAGCGAGTCCAAGGATATTTTTAGTCCAATTCCCATCATTATTATGCAGTGTTATTTTCTGGAAGATTTTCAGAAAATACCTATGCCACATATAGCTTCAACTCTTCTTTTGCGAACTCAAAATTTAATAATTTACTACTAATACTTCTGGTTCCTTGAAAATGTTTTTTTTAAACTTTGCATTGAATTTAGGGTATACTTGTTCAAGGACGTTTGCTTTTCTTCGCACTGTGCTGTTTATAACCTCAACTGTGTCTTCCTGCTCATCCTGTCTTAGTTCAAAAATTAGATTCATGGTTTATAAAGGGTCCAATCTTCTTTTAAGGAGTTCTCTCAATTCCCCGTATACGATTTGAAAACCTTCTTACAATACAAAGTGCGGTTTGTGGGAAATCATTATTGGCCCTCACATTCTACAGTCGGTTGAACGTTATTCTTAGGTTCTCAAGGGCAATGAAACATTCTGCTTCTGTTTTAAAGCAAAGTTTCTTGGAAGGTAAAGACTGATCTTAATTCGAATAGGTGCCTGCATTCTAAGGCTTTTCGCTCTTGGGCAGGATTATGGGGTCTGTCTAAACGCGTGAAATCCATGGTTTGGGTCCAGTTTGTCAAAGTTTCTAGAAATACATGGAGGCATGTCTTACAATATTTGGATATCCAACAAATAGTAACTTACTGCATTATAAAAGTAGTTACTGGGTAAGTTAGATGTTGGCTTGCATGATATTTATATGATCTTTGACTGATCCGCGAAATACGAGTAGTTTCCCCTAGTGAAACCTTTGCAGTGAATTCTTCTGGCTGACTTGAATTACGCTATTTAATTACCTGGATTGACTGTCCTTTATTCCGGTGATTATATCTGCTAGCATGTACCCCCCTTGCATAAACTATTTCTGTGTGATAATCATATTGTCGTATCTTCAGCCCACATCAATGGATCTCGAGCCTGATGAATTAAAGAAGACAACTTTTTACGCACACGTCAGACATAAAAAGTAGATTATTTTCAATAATCAAAGATTAGGTGAAGTTCAGCTCATATGGAAACGTTTGGTCATTTGCTTGCAATGATTTGTATGTACTAGAATAGATTTTAGAGTATACTGTATAGTGAATGTATTTTGCATGATTTATACTTGCATATGCCAGGCATAAAATCAAATACGGTTTCACATGAGTGCATTTTGACTGGAACGAAGGAGGCAAGAATTTCCAATGGATTCTGGAACTTTGAATGATTCTATGAAAGCATTTATTAAAAAGACTCATCCCAACACCATTTCGTCCTAGCACAAAAAGATACAGAGTTAATATACAGTACTCGTATACTGTATCTTGCAGTCTTCAGGTGTTCAGTAAAGAATTTGGTGGCCATGTTTAATTCTTTATTTTCAAGTTTTCTTATTTGACAAAAAATCTAATGTTTCAGTTGAAATAAGGACTTAAATAAAAGGCATTATACTATTTTCCTCGTATTTAGACTAAATTTAATTTTATATGCAAGAAATCCTGGAACCAAAAATTGCTTCATTAAAGCCCCAGAAACCTCATTCCCAGTATTGTTCATTGATAAGCGACTGCTGAAACTACAAAAGAATTCATTTTGAAATGATCAACACTGTTCAAGATGTACAGGTAACCGACAATGGAGAATACAAATAATAAATTCTTAATTTTATCATCAGCCAATTTTTCAACTGCCTCTTCTTTTGAAAACAGATCAACGCTTCGGATATGCGATAGGGTCATAAATGCGTCGTTTAAAGTTGCATGCTGAGAAAAATCTCGAGACATTCAAATCTTTCAAATTATTGTCAAGTTAAATAAAAAGTACATTATTTCGTTTTACACAGCAGCCCGCAATGCATGAAATTGTATTTTCACTGTACAGTATTTTCACAAACCAATTGGACAATATTGTACTGTACTATGACAGCTGTAACTTGATGAAGGCAACACTGGATGAACGCGTTTCAGTAAAGAAAATTACGATTCCATCTGAAATTTAAATCTTTCCTCGGCTATAAATGTACAGTAGTGGTTTACAAGCAATGGACCACTCAATAAATTTTGGGGAAAATGGGGTGAGTTTTCGAGGCATCATTGGGGTTTATTTAAGAGAAAATATGATCACGTTTGTTGAGGCAAAATTTCTGTCGGAAATCACGATTTCGCGTCAGCTCTGTTCTTATACAGAAGATTAGAACATCTTTCGGATCAAATCGGGGAGAAGCAATTAAAATTGTCTCGTGGACCGTACTTGACAATTGCTTGCGGAAACAATAGCATGGGTCTCGACGCACTTTTCCAGCGATGGAAATAGGTTCGCAGAGAAAACGGTGAAAAATGAAAAATACTGTACATTTCCCAGCTCAATGCTTTTTATGTTAGCATTGTTCATGCAATTTTTTGCAGGATAAAAGTGAGTCCCTCAGCTGCTGAGTAGCCAGTGAACGAATTGGATCGTTGAGCTGACGTTGAGACTCGTTCGCGTTTGCCGGCAACTCAGTTAACTCAAGGCTGGAAAAAAAAATTTGCGTGTTGCTCTCTGATTTCTGTTTGATTCGTTGTCAGTTCCAGAGTAGATTTATGATTCACAAGATCAGGACCGAACCAAAAATGGCACCCGACGGGAAATCTGTGTTGGCCGATCCTGAAGTTTACCTGTCAGCCATCTCGAAACTGACGCCGTTCGTTGAAAACGTGATGCAAGAATTCGGCTCGCATTTGAAAATACAAAGATTCGATCGCGTTCTGTTCCTCTTTTCCCGAGTCGGATACTTCCCCAAGAAATTCATCGAACCACTGATGGCACCGTAAGCACGCTTTTCGTTTTCATTGAATTATAAAAAAATGCAAAAAAATTGAGACAAGTGTACCATGTGTGGCTCTCGTCATGCTCGCAGTGATTCTGAAATGGTCTGCGTTGACATGTTCCCCGCGATGATTGAGTACGCTCGCAAAAATGCTGCAGGCAAAAATATTGGCCACGTCATCATCGACCCGCACAAGATTGACGAATTGAAGCACATGTACCCTACCGGATTCAGCCACATCGTATCCTTCCTGAGTTTGCAATGGGTCAAAGAATATCGGTGAGTTCGCTTTAATTTTTTTCATCAATTATAATGCCTGAAATCGACTGAATCCTTTATTGAATAATCTACTTAAAAGCTGATAGAAATCTGGGACAGGTTCTAGGCAAATTTAGGCAAGTCAGAAATGTCAATTTTCCGTCGCATAAAATCAAGAACTTCGAGGTCTCTCTGCACAACTTTCATTCTTCGGAGAAAACTTGGCAACGGTTATTCTAGTCTTTTCGGTGTATTTGTCGTATATGGGCATATTTTAATTTTTTCGTTAAATCATGCTTCATTTCAGATGGGTCCTGAAGCAACTGAGCCCACTGCTAAGAGAAAACGGAATGCTTTTCTTGTCGCTTTCGGATGCAGCTCCACAATTCGACGCTTGGCCTCTTTTAGGGAGAGATCCGATTTGCGGAAAATACCTCAGGGTATTGAAATACGATTTTTTCTCCACACTTTTGAATTTTGAAAAAAAAAATTGGATTTATTAACTGTCATATCAATATCAAATCTTCGAGCGGCTCATCTGTTCGGCGAGGTGGAGGGTTTTCAACTTCGGGGGTTCAAACGTTCTTTAATTAAATTGTCGACCCAAACCTGTACCTTTTATGGTTAAGCATTTAAACAAGCACGACAAAACAAAAGAGAGCATTGCTTCAAGGATTTTTTCTTTGGTTTGTTCTTTAATGTAGAAAAAATGGGAAACGAAGCTTTTTCGAAGGATTTTCCATGAAATTTTTCGATTCATGATTCCTCTTGTTCAGATTCTCTCTTGCAATTTTACTTTAGAAAATGATCCAAAATTGGGCAAATTTTTTAAGATTATTCAGGCAAACTCATTTATACTCCTTTTTGCATTGTTTTCGTAAATTCATTTTTTCATTACGGATTATTTTAGGAGATGGAAGTTACCCTGGGAATTTTTAATGGGGATCCCGATCCAGAAAACACCTTCAACAAAGACTTGAAGGATGCCGGCTTCAATCCAGAGATCATAAAAACGTTGCCCTCTTCTATGTCAGTTGCCGACGTTGAAACGTTGGATGGTAAGTCGAACTGCGAAGGGGATATTTTGTCTGCAAGT